GGCTTTCGTGGGCGCCACGTGGCTTGGAGTGGGCAGCATCGCGTACACAACGCGGCTCACACCGCCTAGCTCTTCTACAGGTTGCACAGCCTAGCTTACGCCACAGGTTCCGCCTCAAAGCTTTCTCTGGGTTGCTGAGGAAGCGTGGGGGGGGTAACCCCCCGACGGGGGTCAACCTCGCCTTGTCGTGGCGCCGCGACGGGGGTCGGAGCGCCTTTGGCGCGCGGTGGCTGCACGCGACTGGGGTCGATGTGGGGCTGTCGGCGTGGGTGACGCCCCCCCCCCGACGCTTGTTAAGACACTCGGAGTGCACAACCCAGCTCCCGCAACACAGCTTGCACCGCGTTGCTTCCCCCGCGTAGCTTACACAGCATGCAGCGAAGCAATCAGAGCTTCCCCCGACTAGATCGCACCATCTCAGCGCAAACAACAAAAACTGCTTGGGGCACATGCTGGTGAGCATGAAGAGTCATGCGCGCCCAACTGGGGGATGAACAACACGTACTCCAGATTTCGTAATAAAGGGAGGGGGGTCTCATTTCGGGGGGGGTCTCTTCCAGGCTATCTTGGAGGGCCTGGGGGGGTCTGGGGACGGTGTTTTGGAGGGTTCTCCCACGGGGGGGGTCTGAAATGGCTTGTCTTGGAGGGTCCAGACCCCCTCCCTTTTATTACGAAATCTGGAGTGTTCCTCACGAGTGCGAGCTGAACGAATATTTCGCTAATGGTGCTTGGGGGGCCTTTCGAGGCGCCGTGGTCGCCACGGCGGGACGCGGCTCGACCACCCAGCCAGGATGGACTCCAGGAGTGTCCAGGGCCAGATTTTGAACCGATCTGATGGGGGATGCGAGCGACGAGGACGGCGGCAATGGCGACGACGCAATGACGACGACGAAGACGTTGACGACGAGGCAACGACGACGACCACGAAACGATAGCCACACTGAGAGTGCCGTTTGTGTCTGCCTCTGTGTTTAACCTCCTGGGCAGGGGTCGACCTAAATGGTATGGTGATTTCGTGGGCCGTTTTCGTTGCGATTTCGTTGTGCAGCAAAGCCGGATTGAAGACAAAACGAGGAACTCCGAAAACAAAACGAACACACATTGTTTGGGTCGATCCCTGCTCAAGGGGCTTCTGGAGGGAAATCTCCGTGGGAACCTCGGGGGGGCTAAGGCGAGACCAACTTCCCTCTTTCAAGGCCCGAGGATCGAGGATTCAGGAAGGAGGGTGCGGGGTTCCAGCGAGATTGCACTGTTTCCATTTCTTGACAGGATCGAAATTCTAGGATCGAGGGTCGAGTAGTTTTCGCTTTTCTGGTGCTCACTTAGGCTCTTCATTGGCAGGATCGGAGAGCCAGGAATGAGGGTGGAGGAGTTCCGGCGATTTTGCACGGCTTGCAACTGATGTACACGATCGAATTACCGCTATGGGCCTTGCATCGCCCGGACGTGTGCGTTCTTTCTCGGTAGGACCATTGAGGAGCATGGTGGGCCATCTTGCGAACAAGCTGCACGCACGCACCGGGAATAGACGTCCGAGCGATGGCGCGTGGGAGAAACGGGTCCTGAGGGAAACGGGTCCTGAGGTTTCTCGCCGCTAGCGGGTCCGTCGGGGCCCTCCACCCACCACCCATGAAACCACCCCAACCCAACCCGAAGGCCCCAATTTGCTCTCCATTTGGGGCGTTCCGGAAAGGGCCTTGCCTGCGAGATTAGAAGGAAATGTCATCTCCTCCGCGGCGGAATGCGGCGGAAGGGCGGCGGAAGTAAAAGCAGGCCGCCTCCGCCGGCGGAAGCCGGCGGAAGCTCGGCGGATGGCGGCAGAAGTAAAACATACGCCTGCAAGAGATGAAAATGGTTTGGGGTTCAGGGTTTCCGAAATTTTTGGGAGGGGTCGGGGAGCATAGAGGAAACATGTGTGGAACCCGTACCCCCCCCCACCCACCCCGAAATTCGGATCTTCGGGTTGGACTAGGGTGGTCTGGTAGGCGGTCATCCTCGGGCCCCGGGACCGTGAGCAAGCGCGTCCTGGGGGAACGCCCCAGGCTCCAGGACCCTGTGTTTCTTGAGGGCCCGTCCCCCCCACCACTGCTGAAAGATCCAGGGTCTCGAGGGTCGAGGAGTGTCTTCGCTCTGCTGGTGCCCGTTCGAGCTCTGATGGGCAGGATCGGAGCTCCAGGATCGAGGGTCCAGGAGTGTTCGCCCTTCTGGTGCCCATTGGCGCTCTCGTGGGCAGCATCGAGGTTCCAGGATCGAGGGTCGAGGGGTTTCGCTCTTCTGGTGCCCATCGGAGCCCGCCTGGGCGGGAGCGGAGGTCCAGGAGCGAGGGTGGAGGAGTTCGGGAGACTGGGAGAAGCTCTGTGAGCCTTCCTGGGCAGGACCGAAGGTCCAGCATCTAGTGTCGAGGAGTCTGAGTCTCCTCTTGTCCTTGTGGACCCGCTCTGTGCAGGATCTCAGATCCAGGATCGAGGGCGGGAGAGTTTGTGGGCTGCTCTTTGAACACTTCTGGGCAGGATGGAGGATCCAGGATGCGTGGTTGCCGGCGGTTGCCACCAGCGTGCGCGGGAAAATCTGCGAGTGGACGGACGGCGTTGCCTGGGCCCCCAAAGGGTTCATCCTGTGCAGCTTTCGTGGGCGGCAAACATACAGTAGGGGTCTTGAAGAAGGAACCCTTTTCGTTGGGGAGGGGCTCGGTGCTGCTTGATTGTTTCAAAGTTTGCCTCGGGTTTCCCTAAGGTTTTCCATAGGAAATCGAGGTTGAACTTATGGGAAAAAGGGGCCTCGTTCCTTATTTAGGGTTCCTTAGGTCAACGCCCCGACTGCACCCGGACCCCTCAACGGGTTCGTCCTGTGCAGCTTTCGTGGGCGGGAAGCCATATCCGTGTTCGCGGCCTCGCGGGCCGGGCCCCTGGACAGCGGCCCCGCGGACGTCGGGCGCTGTGGTCGCGGGTGCCCCGCGCGGAACGTATCCGTAATAGGAAAATATAGGGAATCATTTTATTTGTGTGTATTTATTTGTGTGTCCTGGGGCCCCTTCATGTCTGCGGATCTACGTGGCGGCTATATATTCAGGACCGTGCAATGCAAACAAACATGCTGAAGAAGCTGCAGTGCGCAGGAGCGACCAGAAGTCCAACCAGCAGCGTGCAGCAGCGAGGGTAGCGACGAACACCTCCACTGCAGGTGTAACACCACTCCGCGTGTGTAACCAGAAGTGAATTCCGCGTGTAACTCCGCCCCGCCGGACCTCCGAAGCGCCCACGAGAGAGGCGACAGTTGCACAGCTCGCAGCCGCCCAGGGAGCCGCGAGGTCCCATCTGGGTCCGCGTGTAACTCCAATCAACTGGGCCTCCCAGGAGCCCACGAAAATGGCGACGGTTGCGCTGTTCGCAGCCGCGCAGGGAGCCGCGAGGTCTCGTCTGGGTCCGCGTGTGACTCCACTCCGCTGGCCCCGCCAGGAGCCTACGAAAGTTGCGACAGTTGCAAAGTTCGCAGCCGCGCAGGAAGCCGCGAGGTCTCTTCTGGGTCTGCGTGAGACTCCACTCCGACGGACCTCCCAGGAGCTGATGAAAGTGGCGACAGTTGCTAAGTTCGAACCCCCCAGGGAGCCGCGCGTTCCCGTCTGGGTCCGCGTGTATCTCCAATCCGCTGGACCTCCCAGGAGCCCACGAAAGTGGCGACGGTTGCGCAGTTCTAAGCCGCCCAGGGAGCAGCGAGGACTCTTGTGGGTCTGCGTGTGACTCCACTCCGACGGACCTCCCATGAGCCGATGGAAGTGGCGACAGTTGCCAAGTTCGAACCCCCCAGGGAGCCGCGAGTTCCCGTCTAGGTCCGCGTGTATCTCCAACCCGCTGGACCTCCCAGGAGCCCACGAAAGTGGCGACGGTTGCGCAGTCAGCAGCCGCCCGTGGAGCAGCGTAGGATCAGGCAGGAGGATGAGGGAGGGGAAGGGGAAGGAGTGGATGCCACGTTTTTTTCCAACACGAGAACCCCACACAGGAGGGTAGGGAAGTACACCAAGGTGCCCATGACCGTGCTCTTACCTTATCCCCAGTAGCCGACCTCCTACTCCTCGACCCGCCTCTTCACCGTTGCTGCTACCAGGGTGCTTTGCGGGGATATGTTTTGCAGGAAGGCCTTGCGGCCAAGGACGATGAGACATCGCCCTAGAGCTGGCCAGAACGCACGCTCTCGGACATGCCAAGTTGTTCACCATGTGAATGTATCGTTCTTGGCTCCGTCTCGGCACCTCATCCCAGAGCGATGTTTGATGGTCCAGGGGCCCGGAACGGGTCTCTTGGGGCTGAATTTTCCGATGCAGTTTGTTCGAAGCCTCCTCCTTCCCCGTCACCCGCTTCTTCTCCTGCGCCCTTATTCTCCGGCGGCTGCAGAGATGCAGGCGGCCACGCAATGGTGTAAGTCTCCAGGTGAAGGTATCGGGTCAGGCAAAGGTGTTCGCCCTGTCATTCAGGGCTGGACCTAATCGCTGTGTTGCTGTACTTCGGCTGTGTGTTGTTGTTCGTTGTGGCAGGGAGGTGCAGGTCAACAGGTCGAGCAAAACGCATCATCATCACCACCAGCATCATCACAAGCATCATCAATAACATATTCAGCATAGTCATCCCCATTCTCATCATCAACCATTACCATCAAGAACATACTCAACATGACCAGTATCGTTTGCATCATCATCTTCATCAGCATCCAACCTCACCACCACCATCCTCACCATCAGCATCATCATCAGCACCGGCACCATCACCATCCTCATCATCAGCATCATCAGCACCATCATCGTCATCATCATCAGCATCGTCGTCATCATAATCATCATCAACCCTATCATCGTCATCCTCATTCCCAGTATCATTATCAGTATCATTAACATCAATCGAGCTTTGAGCTGCTTGCCTTCATCCTCGGAAGGTGCGCTCCTCCTCCTCCTCCTCCTCATTCTCTTCCTCCTAAGCCTCCTACTCCCTTCTCCCCCGTCTGGAGCCGAGGTGGTGGCCGACTGGGGGCTCACGCAGGACCAGCGCGACGATTTCCTGGTGGCGGGCCCCTGGCCAGGGGCCGCGGGCCACAAGCAGGACGACGACTGGCAGAACAGGACGAATCCAAAGGCGGCGGGGGCGCACCGGGGATGATGGGAGGGATGGGAAGGAAGGAGGGGGGGGGCGGAGGGAGGAGGGAGGGGAGGGAGGAGGAACGATTGGAGGAAGGAGGAGGAGGAGGAGGAGGAGGAGGAGGAGGAGGAGGAGGAGGAGGAGGAGGAGGAGGAGGAGGAGGAGGAGGAGGAGGAGGAGGAGGAGGAGGAGGAGGAGGAGGAGAGGAGGAGGAGGAGGAGGAGGAGGAGGAGGAGGAGGAGGAGGAGGAGGAGAGGAGGAGGAGGAGGAGGAGGAGGAGGAGGAGGAGGAGGAAGGAGGAGGAGGAGGAGGAGGAGGAGGAGGAGGAGGAGGAGGAGGAGGAGGAGGAGGAGAGAGGAGGAGGAGGAGGAGGAGGGAGGAGGAGGAGGAGGAGGAGGAGGAGGAGGAGGAGGAGGAGGAGGAGGAGGAGGAGGAGGAGGAGGAGGAGGAGGAGGAGGAGGAGGAGGGGGGGGGGAGGGAAGGAGGAGGAGGAGGAGGGGGGGAGGATGAGAAGGGAGGGAGGAGAAGGAAGGAACGAGGAGGAGGGAGGCCACAGAAGGGCCATGGTGTCGAGGGATCAAGAATTTGACGTCTCGTCCGCGGCGGAGGGTGATGGGGAGGCTGGAAGCACACCGGGGGGCGGCTCTCCCAGCGGGAGCCCAGCGAGGGGGCCAGAAACAACCGTTGCCCCCCCTCCCCAGACGTGGTTCCGGGTGTCTGCTGCGTTTTGTATACACATAATGCATGAGAGGTCTTGTGTTTCATTCGAGCGTCTTGTATACACATTATGCATGATGCATACAAACGTCCAGCCGTGCACTTCCTCACTCCGCGTGTTGTTGCTGCACCCTGGATGTCCAACATTGTGTATATGTATAGATCTATGTATGCATGAACTTGTACACATGAGACATGGTATTTGACATATACATGTGCAAACATATGCATAGATGCATACGTTGCGCAATCGGAATGTGGTCGGCACTTCACAGTGTGTTTCCGCTGCAGCGCTGGCCCCAGTCCAGGATCGGTGTTGTGCTCCCGCAGTTCAGTATTGCGTTCTCGCTCGAGCGTGGGCCGCATTTCTTGATCCGAGTTGTTCCTCGTCTTTGCCGTCACCCTCCTTTTCCCCTCCTCTATCTGCCCCTGATCCTCATCCACCTCCTGCTTATGCCTCTCCTGCTCCTGCATCATCCACCTCCTCTCCTCCTCCTCCTCCTCCTCCTCCTCCTCCTCCTCCTCCTCCTCCTCCGTTGTCCTCCCTCCTTTCTCTTCTTCTTCTCCTCCTCCCTCCTTCCTTCCTCTTCATCCACCTCCTCTACCTCCTCTCCTCCTCTTCTCTCCTCCTCTCCCTCCTCCTCCTCCCTCTTCTCCTCCTCTCCTCCTCTTCTCCTCTCCTCCTCTTCCTCCTCCTCGTCCTCCTCCTCCTCCTCCTCCCCCTCCTCCTCCTACTCCTCACCTCTCTCTCTCTCTCTCCTCATTCCTACTTATTCTTCTCCTCCTCGTTCCTCTTCCTCTCTCTCTCTCTTCTCCTCCTCCTCCTCCCTCCTCCTTCACTTCACCTCTCCCTCTTATCCTCTTCCACCTTCGCCTCCTCGTCCTCCTTCTCTGTCTCTTCGTACTCCTCGTCCTCTTCCTCCTCGTCCTCCTCCTCCTCCTCCTGATCCTCCTCTCTCTCCTCTCTCTCTCTCTTTCTCTTTCTTATCTTCTCTCTCATTCCTCCTCCTCCGCCTCCTCCCTTCTTCTCCTCCTCCTCCTCCTCCTCCTCCTCCTCCACTCCTTTCTCCTCCTTCTCCTCTTCCTCCTCCTTCTCCTCTTCCTCCTCCACCTCCTCCTCCTGGGGAGCTGAAGAGCCGGGCAGGTCTCGTGGTTGGGTGACTCGGCCACGAAGAACACCTACGAGCCGGTGGAGGTGCTGCACCCAGGCCTTGTGGGCGGCATCCTGGAGCACATCGTCCGAGAGGTCGCGGTGGGCGGGAAACCCGTTCTGGTGAGAGCCCGACCCCTCGCGTTGGCAAAAAATCACGACGGGAGGTTTCTCGCTGGTTTCGGTCTCCAGGGGCCCTCACCGGGCTCCGGGACCGTCAGAAACGAGACAGGATGAAAAACCGGTCCCAGGAAGGGGTCCAGACCTCTGGGAGTCGACGTTGTGAACGAATGACGACATCGGGGGTCTGGGGACCTTGCCGCTTTCGTTCGTCTCAGTTGCGTCCCTTCCGCTCGATCGCTGCTTTTGCTGCCCTTCTCTCGTTCCCGTACTGCGCGTGGGCGACGCGTGGCTTGAAGTCGGTCCTTGCCACGTCTTCCTTGCCGCCCGCCGCTGCCCACTCAGCGGCTGCCAGTGGTCGTTCGAAGCGATCCTCCGCGGTGCCCCGGCCTCTCCTGGGAGAGCGGTGCCTGACTCTGCTCCGGTCCCTCCATATTCGTTTGGTCCGCGCGCATGTCTCGGGCTGGCGCCCGATCCAACACCTGACTCGGGGGGCGACAGAGAGCGTCCGTGACACGTTGCCGTTGGGAGAGCCAGCCGGCACGTGGCAAGACATCTGTTCCCCGGAAGCTTGGCGGCTCTTCAGCAGTGATGCGCCGATGGGCCCCCCCTGGCGGCGTCGCTTTGATCGTGTGTTCGCTCCCCCCCCCCACACGCCTGGGCGGCTCCTCTGCTGCAGCCCCCGGCGCGCATCGCTTGCTGGGAAGAGTGTCGGGTGCGGGGGTGGGGGGCGTGCCAAGGTACCACCCCGACCGCTGGAAGCGGATGGTCGTGTCGTTGATGGGTGTTCTACTTACTGTCGGAGGCCACGAGGTTGACACCAACACCAACACTGGCGGTGTGCCTCCACCGAGGAAGGACGATCGCGATCTCGGTGACGGTGGTAGCATTCGGGCTTCTAGGTGGCCGAACTATTTCCACCAACACCGAAATCCAGGATCATCTTTCCCCGGTAGAGGTAAGCCCCTGTGCTGGTGTTGGTGCCCATTTCCAAGCCTCCTACACTGGGCTCCTGGGATTTTCTGGCATGGTTCGACTCTCCCGTCTCCTCCCCTTGAAGTCAAGGAGGCTGCCAGGCCTAGGAATCATGGTGGCAGCTCCAGGCGGTAGGCCGCAATGTCAGTCTGAATTGGCCGTCGCGCGTCCGCCTTACCGAGACCGGGGACGGGGGTGGTATCACCAGGTGATGTTCCAAACGAGGCTGGATATGCAGGAGTGCCGTCAGGCGACGAGTGCAAGCAAGGGGAAGACGTAGTCGGAAGCCTCCGCTCGCACACCAAGATCCCTTCGCAGCTTACGCCCAGGATCTGCAGCTCTTCCAACCTGTACCAAATCATCGTTTTGTGCGTTCATCGTCGGCACTGTGTCCTGCTTCTTCTCATCTTGATTCGCTCCCTTTCGACATCCTGTTATTCCGCTGTTGATGCTTATGTATATTCCCCGATGTCTTTCATATCCTCTGCATCATCGTTCCCTTCATGTGTTTCCCCCCATGTCCAAAGATGGGCTTATTGCTATTACCGGGACGCCTCGCCACACTGACTCACTTGCTTATTGTGCTCATACCCTAAGGTCGTGCAGGGTGGAATCCCGCTTATCTCAGACTAATTCGCAGTCAGACCCTGACTCACTCATATTCAAACTTACTCATATCTCTTATGTTCTCTCCTCCTCCCTCCCATCACCTCTCCTCTCCTTCTCTTTTCTCCTCACTGTTACGTTGCCATCACACTCGGTTCACTCATAGCCAGACTCACTCACATGAAGGCTCGCTCATTCTCACACCAGCTCCTACTAAGACTCACCCATTCGCAGGCATACTCACACTGAGACGCACTCGCACCCACACATACTCATACCCAGACTCACTGCCCCTCAGACTCACTCACACTCGGGCCTACTCATGCTCAGACAGACTCGCACTCTGACTCACTCGCACCGTGCTGTAGCAGGCGTGGCACTTGGGCACCCCAGAGGGGAGCCGCCCTGGGGTTTTGCACTTCCCCCCGTTCGCGTCCAGGCTGTGGGGATGACTCGAGCGGCCTGCCTGGTTTGTGCTGGCGCCGCGATAACGCAGGCGTGGCAGCTGGGCACTCCATGGGGGAGCCACCGCGGGTTTTCCATTGGAGGTCGAAGTCCCACCCACGGAACAAAAAGGGGCCTCGTTCTTGAGCATCGTTTAACCGATCCTTATCCCCACTTGGCGTGGCTTGGGCCTCACTGGCCGATTTACCCCCGAGATGGGGATACAGGCGGCTCCCTTCGGGCTTCGAGGGGCATATCCCCAACTGGGGTGGTGGGATGGTGGGGATCGGGATGGGGATGGAAATGTGGATAGGGATCTGTGTAGGGTTCCCTCGGGGAGCGCTTCGATTGGACTGGGCACGGCAGGGAGCGAGCGGAGCGCAGGCTGGGGTGAGAGGAGAGGCCACGCAGCGATCGAAGGCAGGAGAGGGGGGCACTACATTGGAGGCCCATGCCAAGAAACACACTGCTTCCCTCCAGGGTGCCCTGGGTTTCTTGGGTTTCGATGGTTTTGCGATGGAAAGCGCGACGCTCCCACACCAAAAATCAACGGCCGTCCTGTGGTTACAGGGTTGGGCTTCTTGAGGAAGGTTTCTTATGGTCGGGCCCCTACTGTACGGTTGAGTCGGGCCTGTCCCTTTACAGGAGGAATGTTCAAAAAGAGTCGAGCCATGGTCTGGAGATGATGTTTCGACTATGTTTGATCCTTTGGGGATATGTTTGCATATTCTGTTACTTGGATCGCCGCTGGGGTTGCTAAGTGGATAGGAGGATACAAGTGGATGCGAAGGTGGGTTCTATCCCGCCTAATCCAGCTTTGAAGTGGGTTGCGCGTGCCCTAAGTGGCTCAAGGGCGCACAGATCTCGGCGAAGCGGGCGGGACCCACTTGGCGGAGGTACCTCATCCTCCTGACCCACCTGTAAGTTGGGTGAGGCCAGAGAAAGCCCACTTCAGCATGCGCTTCCGACCCCCCCATCCCCTTGGCAACCGCCGCGGCGATCCAAGAAGGCTCATCTGGAATCCGCCCCTCCTCACCATGCGGGCCGACGGAGCCGGAGCCACATAGGGCACTTGCAACCCACCTATAAGTTGGGTGAGGCCAGAGAACGCCCACTTCAGCATCCGCTTCCGACCCCCCCCCCATCCCCTTGGCAACCGCGGCGGGCGATCCAAGAAGGGGGACACATGCCCGACCCGACACCACGGGGCCACTCCCTGTGGGCGCGGCAGGCAGAGCGGGAGCAGCGCGCAGGGGCGGGGGGGGGGAGAGGAGAGGCCCCTGGGCGGCGGCGCACGCTCCGAGGGCCGTGGCTCGTGACGCGGCGCCTCCTGGTGCTTGACTTCGGGGCTCCTAGCTGGAGGTCGGGCGTGTGCCTCGACAGGAGGAATGTCCAAAGATAGTAAAAACAATCGTCTGGGGACGATTTCTGGAGCATCTTGGAAAAATCTTGTTATACATGTTTAAAACAAAAAATGTTCCTCACAAATCCCCCTGTAGGAGGACATGCCCGACCTAGCTCTAGCCGAGTTCACGGCACGCTGCCCCTGCCCTGAACGAAAACGCGACAAGAGGCTTCTGCACCGTCGCGGGCCGCCGTGGTCCCCTACTGGGCCTCGAGACCGTCACAGAACGACCCAGGATGAACAAACTTGGTCCCGGGGAAGGGGTCCAGACCTCTGGGGGTCGACGTTGTGAAAAAATGACGACGGGAGGTTTCTCGCTATTTTCGGTCTCCGGGGGCCCTTGCCGGGTCTCGGGACCGTCAAACACGAGTCGGGATGAAAACTCAATCCGGGGAAGGGGTCCAGACCCGTGGGGGTCGACGTTGTGAAAAAGGCGCGACGTCGGGGGTCTGGGTTGCAGACCCTCATGCACTCAGCATCCCCGCCGACGGGGCTCCAACAAACAAGCCAGCATAATGGAATGGGGGACGAGGAGGAGAAGGAGGAACGGGAGAGAAGCGGTCGAGGGAGGAGGGGCAGGAAAGGTATGAGGAGCGACTCAAATACGTCCAGTGCCTCCCGGAGGTCATGGAGGAGAGCGATTTCGATGAGATCCTGGACAACATCATGATGCAGGACCCCTCCCCCTTCCCTTCGCCTTCTCCCCTCCTCCCCCGCCCTCCCCGTTCTGCCTTCTCCCGCGCCGTCTCCCATCCTGCCCCCCTCCGCCGATGCCCCCTCCGCGCTGCCCCTCCTCGGGCTCCCCCGCGGCCTTGCAGGCGGAGAGGCGGCGGGGACCGTGACCCGACACGGGCGCCGCCTCCCTGCTGGTCCTGCTCGCTGGGGTGGCACAGCGTCGGCCCGCATGGCGAGGAGGGTCGGCGTTCCCGGATGGCCCTTCTTGGATCGCCGCGGCGGTTGCCAACGCGATGGGGGAGTCGGACGTGGATGCTGAAGTGGGCTTTGTCTGGCCTGACCCAACTTGCAGGCGGAGAGGCGGTGGGACCATGACCCGACCCACCACGGGCGCCGGCTCCCTGCTGGTCATGCTCGTTGGTGTTGCACAGCGTCGGCCCGCATGGTGAGGAGGGGCGGCTTTCCCAGATGGCCCTTCTTGGATCACCGCGCCAGTTGCCAAGGGGATGGGGGGGGTCGGACGTGGATGCTAGAGCGGGTGAAATCCGACCTAACCCAACTTATAGGTGGATCACAAGAGCCCTATGTATGTGGCTTAGGATGATGAGATTAATCCGCTCAGTGGGCTCCGCCCACTTCGCCGAGATCTGTGCGCCCTTGAGCCACTTCGGACACGCGCAACCCACTTCTAAGCTGGGCAAGGCTGGATCGAACCCACCTTCGCATCCACTCCTACCCCACCCCATTCCCTTAGCGACCCCCTCGGCGATCCAAGGTTGCATCCTCCCCCTTCGGCCCATCCTTGGCCGTGTTCGCTGGCCGCGCTCCGCTGGCAGAGTGTTGGCAAGTCCTTCCAGGGCCCTGGCATCCTTCGCGTGCGTGGCTGCCCTGCGAGCTGGCGGCAGCGCGGTCACCGCTCGCCTTCCCCACGCGGGCCCCCGCCTCGGCAGCGGCTACGGGAGGCGACACCACCGGGACCCGACCACTGGCGTCTGCTGAAGGGCAATGGGTGTTTGCTCAAACAGCCCTGCCCGGCTCGATTCCTTGTCTTTAGCGCGCTGACTGAACGACTTTGCGTGTCGGGGTGGTTGCCATGGAGGTGGCTTTTTTGACCCCTGAGCAGGCGCCGGCAGACGGAGCGCGTCGACGCGACGCGCCTTCCCCGTCGCGAAGAGTGCGGGCGCTCCCCAGGGCCGGGCCGCTTCGCCGCTCCGCCGCTCCTCCTCGCCGGCCCCCCTTGCGTGCTGCGCCCCGTGCCTCTCTTCCGCGGCCCCCTCTCCGCCAG